TTAGACGAGGAAACCCTTTTAGACCAAATTGGAAATTGCCCTAAGGAGTTATGCGAGAGATTTAAAGGAACTTTTGAACTTCTCCAAGCTTATGCTAAACAATTATTAGAAATCTAAAAGGATATTTATTTCTTTAATAAGGCCATAAACATAGATATTGACTTTTGAATTTTTAATGGTGAGCCGACCCTTAATTTTGAGGAGCAATGTCACTTTAGGGCAACTAATGGAAGATATTTCTTACCAATCATTCTTTAATAATTCTTTCTTCTAGCAAGGTATGTAACAATGCTGAGGAGTTAAACTCACCTTCTACTCATACTTGGGGTAGCACATCCGAAGCTAAAGTTATGTTTCGCATTCATTCTTTCTCTTATTTTTAAAAATAAATTCTTAGAGCTAATGTTGACCCTATTCCTTATCCTTCCCTTTCACTTTACGAGGTTTCTAAATAGAGTGTTGAAGTTTCAAAAGGAAATATTATTGACTTGATGGAGATAGACTAGGTTTTATAAATTTGATGATCATTGTTTTTGGTCTTAGGGTATGTTATAATCTCCCATTTTGGTTAATGAAGGCTTGTTTGTTTCTTTTATCACTATTTTTTTTAATAGGGTCCAATATCATTTTTCCCTTTTCAAGAATCATTTAGATTTTTAAAAGTTTGAATTTCTAATTTTGAATTGCATTTTTATGACTCTATTCTTCTAGATAAGGTGCATTTTTAGAGAAGGCAATCTTGTTCATAGAGAGGATCATGATGCTTTTAGACTTTAGCAAAGTATGCCTTTATACATAGGCAAGATTAAAACTATAATTTATTAGAGTCTTGGATTCTCATAGGTAGCTAGTTGTATTCTAGTTAGAGCATGAGTCATTTTTTTCTTAAGCTAATTGAGATGTTTTTGCACTTAGGTAAAGTAAACACCTTGATCTTCTAAGAATCTATATGTTTTTCTAACTGGAGATTGAAGTCTTTTTTTTTTAGGAGAAGATGAGATCCTTATCCTTTAATAGAGATTTATGGTGCTTTTATACCTAAACAATGTGCCTTTCGACTCGAATAAGATAAAAACCAAAAGTTTGAATTCTTGGATTACCATAGATCAATGTTGTAAATAGAAAGGACGAGAGTCACCCTTTTTTTATAGCATAATTAGGGTGCCTATATATTTAAGCAAAGTAAACACCGTAATTTTAAAGAGAAGATAACATTTCTAGTTCCTAAAAAAGGTGGTGGTGTCTTTAAATATGGTCAAGGTATGCCTTATACCTATGTAAAGTAATAACCATGACCTTTTGTGAATATAAGAATTTATTTATGGCCAGTTGTGTTCAAGAACAGACAAGTGTCTTATTTTCGGAAGGATGGCTAAGGTGCCTTTATATATGTGCAATATGTGCCTTTATACTTGGATAAGGTAAAAATCTTAGCCATTACTATCCAAGACACTCTGTAATGTGCAATGTTCCTAATGAAGAAATGACCGCACATTCCCGGAAAAAAGTAATGGTTATAGTCATGAATTTTTGAAAAAATATGCTTTTATATTCATGAATATTGATTGGCAAAGTTTTATATAGAAAGACCTTTGTAGATTACATATTTTTATACAAATATTATGCAAAAAAGACTTGCCATTAAAGTGTTATTGGTATGTTTATAGGGTTTTGTTGATGATTAATCTTTTTTCTTTATATTTTTAAGTTCTCTCGCCTAGCCCTCTTCTTGCCTCGCATCCTATTTGCTCCTATATTTTTTCATGCTAAAGGAAGAGCACTTCGAGAGGTCACTTAACTTTATTTGATTATAGTTATTCTATTAGGTATGGGAACTTTAATAACAAGTAGTGAGTGTTAATAACGATCTTTATTTTGTAAAGAATGGGTCTTTAAAATATGACATTGTATGCTAGACACATCTTTATGATTATGAATATAAGGTGTATTGTTACACTTTAAAAAGAGATGCCTAGGGTCATTGGAATTTGGATTACCTCTTCTATCGTGACTTTTCCTCTTTCTATCTTCATTAAAAGAGTTTTAACTAGTTAGAGCTTTGAGGAATCTATATTCATTAAGTCAAATGCTTCCTTTGACAACACATTGACGATGCTTATCAAGATCCATTCGAATGCAATATACTTTATGGTTGAAAATCATCATCGAAATTACAAGGGCATCATTATGAGAGAAGGTTATTATATTGACATCAACGAAAGTGAATGTGATGAATTCACACTAGTGCGTGAGATCTTGTAAGATGATAAAGATTGGAGAGCCTCTTTTTCTCTTATTGGATCCTCTTTTAACTAGTAGTCCTCTTAGAATCATGTTGATCTAGGGATAGTTTCTTGGTGGTGGTCTTGTCTAGCATCAATCTTGTTAGGATTTGACCTTTTTATCTTGATAAATTGTTTGAGATACCCTCTAATAATTAGCCTTTCTATTTTTTTTAAGAAATATAATATTTAGTATCGTGGCTAGTGTTTTGGTGATAGAGGCAATATATTTTTTTATTACAAATGTGTGGAGGGCTTTTCGTTGAAGTTAAGTGCTTAACATAACCCTCCCCTTGATAATAATGAATACCTCCATTTAAGAGACATTCGAGGAGTTGTTTAGAGTTCATAAAAAGGCTAAACAATTATAGATGGATCTTTTGGGGTTTTTCGTCTTGGACTAGAATGAGCTTGTAGATATCTTTTCTCTATCGATTTTTGAAAATAATAGTGTGCTTATCGAGTGGCTATTATCTCTTCTATTTGAATATAACTTTATGACTTTCTTTACTTGATAGGCATTTTTATTGGAAAGAGCATAAATCTTCTTCTACAAATTGACATTATTGACTTCGATATGAGGGCTTTAGTTACGATAGGTTCTAATAAATTGTCAAATTTTAGCATCTCCTCGTGGAAGTAAGAGAGGTAAATTCGAATATTTTCTTTCTTTTTTTCCTAAGACACTATAAATAGGTTGCTAGAACTTTTTTTAGTAGGAATGCTAGTGGAGAAACAAGCAACCAATTTAGAGTACGGAGTCCTCGAAACTTAGAACCCTCTCTAGGTCTAAGTTGTTATACCATTTCCTCATCATTTGATAGAAGGTTGTGAGAAACACCTTCCACAAGGCGTTTGAGCTTCGTATGACTAGCTTAAGATTTCTTCGGACATTTTATATATGCTCATATGAATCCATCGTTCCATCATACACATCCAAGTTTAACTTTTCAACTAAGAATTCTTGTAGGAGCTTGGTGTTTAAATTACGGATAGTAAGTGAGGAAGCTTAGATTTTATGGATGTGGTAGTCGACTTGGGTTGAATAGTGGGATTAGGTATTTTATTTGCTCACCGGCGTTTAAGTTCTAGGCTCATTAATAAGGTTTGAAAGGAGAGGAAATTGCTTCTATGTTGCTTCATATGTTAGTTTTTGGTAGTGCTTGTGCCAACTTTTAGAACTATGGCGATATTCTATTATTTTTCTCTTATTATCTCTATAGGAGAAGCTGGCTAGTTAGCTTATTACCACTATGATGGGAGTAATTTTTTTTTTCATGAATGATGACGTTCTCTTCTTTCAATACCCTTTCACTGTATTTAGCCATTTCTTTTTTTTTTTCAATCGAATGTTGAGTTGTTCTATTTTAGCAAAAATGATCCATATATAGAGTAGTTTATGGCGGTGCGAAAGTCTCTAAAGGTGGTGAACACATATGTGCTTATTGTGTTTGAGTTGTTGGTAAGGATATAGTTAAAGATTTATTTGTTCTTGCATCAATATATATGTCTCGGTTAAGATTTTGACACGTCCTCGCAGCTAGAGAATGTCGATTGGTAGAATGTTGGGATCTGGTGAAATAAAAAAAGTAGAACGAGTTGGAGTTTTTTTATTGTTAGTAATTGATGAAGACTTAATAATGGAGAAGTAAAAATAGTTAGATATTGACTTGTGGTTTAATTTTCTACAATCGAGATTACCGATGAGGTGACTTCTAACCTAAATTGATCGTGTGGTAGTTATAGCTTGATGGATGTTGATTCAATGATGAGTGCTCGTAAAAAAGTCCTTCTCTAGTGGTTGAAGGACTCTCCCGGTGGCTAAGTTAGCTTACGGAGAGGGATATTTAGCTTAAGTAGATCGTAATAGATTAGCTCTCGTATGTAGAAAATAGTTGATAATATAGTTATTTTGAGTTTAAAAAACGAAGCTGTAACCTTTGGCTTATTAGTCTTTATATAAGAGAAGATGTGATCAACTTGCATGAGGTGAAGTTTAAAACAACCTCTCTTTTTGCATTCAATAGTTTCGACATCCGCTTGAAGATTTAAAATTCTTTTAGATGATGGTAGTTGTCTAATGGCATGTGTGTAGTCATAGTTAGTGATGATACGACATAAAAATTCTAACAAACCACACCTTGATTAAATGAATGTCTTTTTTGTTTATCAAGTAGGTTGAAAGAATTTTTTTGTTTTTTTTTAAGTCATCTATCGGTATTGATTGGTCGGGTCTTGCTCGGTATGCCCGATTGTGCTGGCCATCGAAAGCTGGTCGAATTATTATGTTTTGAGCAAATTCTTGATCCTGTGGTTTTTAAATAGATCATGAAAACACTTGTTATAGTCACAATATTATCTTGTAGGTATATCACTACATGGGTTCATAATATTTTTGGTATCAATTTCAAGCATATCTTGGTGAGACATCACTAGGCAAAAACATCAACGTATCCCCTCAACTAATTTGTCCTTTAGGAGTTTAGCTAGAGCGATACGAATTTTGATTATTTCAAGCAATTATCAACGTTAATTAATATCCTCATTTCCAATAGTACTTGAATTCTCAAAAGTAAATCCTAACTCGACAGTTAAAAGCTTGACTCTTGAAAAAAAAAAAAAAAAACCCTCTTAACAAACTTCTAAATAGGCACTTAGCTAGCTCCTTGCATTTTCCAGAAATGGTCAAGTTGATTAAGTCTCGTTGGCAGACAATGGTCAAAGTTCCTTGGTTTTATGGCGACCTATAGAGGAATAGAGGAAAATTCGGAGAAGGTTCAGGTCATCAATATCGGTTCCACTAAGAACCTGAAAAGAAGAGCAGAGAGTGATAGGGAGAGTGGCCGCTTTTAGCAGGTTCATGGCCAAATATGAAATGTCTTCGTTGTTTAAGACCTTACTGGAGCACATCTAAATAAAGATATATTTCGAATGGACTAAGGTATTAAAAAGGAAATTAACGAAGGTGTAGAAAAATTCATGCACTACTTAATTTGTGTGTCAAAATATTCAATCACCATAAAAAATTTACTTGTTGGCCATCTACTGTTCCAATTAAAAATGTGGAACTGAAAAATGCTGGTTGGTAACATGAATTACATGGCACCTCTGCAATTAATCATGTTTTCTAGTATAATCCTATTATACGCATTTGGTCATTGCAGTTAAATTTATAAATTATTATGATGGTTTTTGGACTAATTTGGGAAACTGAATTTAGTTTTGCTTTGCCTCTTTTTTTTTTTTTTTCAATTGGTTTTATAATTAAAAATATCTTCAGACAAATTTTTGTAAATCAAAATTAAATCTATCTTTTTTAACATGGTCAAAGACAAACTATCCATGACCAAAAAAAATTTGATGATATTACAATTGTATTGCTTTCAAACTATTAAATATAGAAATTACAAATTTTATTTTTTTCCAGATTAGTGCAATTTAATTATATTTTGCACCGCAGGAAACGGATCCAAGATACAGTTTGAATATTCATGAAGCATATTGAACACAAAATTTAAAGAAAACCCAAGCATAGCAAGACTTGTTGAGTGGGAAAAGAAAGCTTCCTTGAAAAGCAGGTCAACATTCTCCATTGCTATTTTTCCTTGACCAAATTCTATTAAGCGACAAAGTAGAAAAACAAGAAAACACTAAAATAGTGTTGCTGAATTTGACATGTATTTCATCTACAGCAAGAAGACAACGAAATATGGCTCAAAATGTTGTAATTATTTGGAATTTAGGACTGATTTCAAGAGCTAATTTGCAATTGATGACTTGAGTCAATCTCGTAGAGCCCTAAAAACGAAGTAGTTAGAAGAAGTCTTGTGACGTGGCGGTTTTAAATCATAAAATAATCCTTAATTGTCTATCTATCCTACGCATCTTCCACTCATCTTCAAAGAACCAACCTTGCAGTTTCTTTCATACAACACGCCTACGTACGTACCCTCAAAACGCGCTATCTTTACGCCCATGTCAAACCCATAAATCGAAAATAATAAAACCCTCTAAAATAAGGAAGAAATTAAGAGATGACTGAAACTAGAAGTTAATTTTTTTTCTTTTTCTTGTGTTGATTTCTTGAATCTTTTGATGGCCATGGCAATGGCAGAATCGAGAGCTTTATGTACAATTCATACAAAAACCTTGACGGACTCGGACGTGGCTGCAGCACAACAACTCGTTCAGCTAAGCGGAGATGACAACAGCAGCAACGACAACAATAAGAAGCAGAAGAGAAAGGACAAGAATGAGAGTGATTTTGAAGATGATCAGGAGTTCGATCGAAGCAGCCAAAATGAGATCACTTCAAAGATGATTGAACAAATTTTCGGCAAAGAAGAGGAGGTTGTTCGACCAAGAAAGAAAAGATACAGGTCTCTTGTGTGTATTTACCAGGCGATGGATATGCCACTTACGAATAATGCTAGGCGTGGGAAGAAGGTGAGCATTGGAGAAAAACCCTATTAATGGAGTTTTAACTAGGGCAGCAGAAGCTAATCAATGTAGTAAATCACAAGCAATTAAGTATTGCTTTTTCTAGGGAAAACTGGCGATTTTGCACTCTATGAATAACAATTAAGTTAAATTATTGTTCTTGATGATTATGTGTTGCATTGGTGAGTACTGGATGATGACTATTCCTTAATTTTTGCAGTCTTGAAGTGGGATCACTAGTTATCCAGGGAGATTTTATCTTCTTCTTCTTCTCCATTCGTTTCAGTGTTGAAATTGATATGGTTAATTAGTCGCCGTTGTCTGCCGGCTTGTTGCAGGAACCCTTTCCCTAACTGATAATGTTGAACGGATAGATGGCGCACGAGCCATTTACTCATTTCATATAGTGTGCTTTAGGGAAATCTATTTTCTCTTTGAAATTGATTTGAAGTGAATATCAATTGAGAACAAACTGATTATGGGCTAGAACGTTGTAGTTAATTTGAAGGTTGCAAATCAATGTAACACATAACTAAGAAAGGTTATCAACAAATCACAAAGACTACAGGCACATTTCAATATTATATTGTTGTGAAAGTTAACAAGGATGAAAGACACTCAACTTTCACGATTATATATGCAATCTACTTGTATTATAACCAACTCACTCCCTGTTGGGACAGCAGCAACAACTCCACGTAGCTTCAGGTTCTACAAGTGGTTGACAACACCAGCTCTCTCTTAATGACATTAATCCTAACAATCTGTTGCTATCATCAGATAATGCTAGTGGCTAGGGATAGGAATTCTACCCTTGTTAATATCAGATTGTTTGTTTCTTGCTAATATCTAGAGTTCTTGTTACATACTATTCGTAAACACTATAAAAAAGAAATTCTAACCCGAATACAAACACAAGAAAACATCTACTCTTTCAGTTTTGATGAGTTTATATGTATATATGTAATCATTGTTTGTGCACTCTTTTGCTCCAAGACGTATGTATCAAAGCCTTTAAATAGTGTAAACCTTGTGCTGAGTGGTGCAGGTATGAATTCACTGAAGTTTCAAAAGTATTTTGATGTGTTTATGTAGGTGTTTTGATGGCTTATAGCTACTGGATAGAGAAGATCACGGTGTTTGTATTTGTCTTGGTTTTTTTGTTAGCGTGTCTCCATATTTTTCTTATCTATGGAAGAGTTAAGAAAAAGTTGTATTTATAAGTTAAGGTTTCGCAATCCAAGAGTTCAAACATTTCTCAAACTCATCAAAGGTTAAAAATGAGTTTGGAGAACAAGTGATCCGGGCAATCAAAACACATCTAGACCCAAGGAAACAAGCCCAAACTCAATGGAATGGAAGTCCCTCGTCCAAATGAATTCTATACATATGATCCATCGTTGAAAAGGTACGAATGTATAATTTCTACTGCAACTTGAATAATCTCAGTTTTGTCTTAGATCGTCAAATACGATTAAAAGAGTTTTCACTTTACTTATTAGTTATATTTCAACTTTCAAGTTCTTTCATTATTTTTCATTTTCGAAATTATTTATAATTTAAAAGGAAATCAGTTATCTTTCTCGCCAAACAAACTACATAAGATTCCATATGCGCGTCTACTTGTCCAATATCAACTGAAAATTTTCATATATAATCTTGTCCATGGGCAAAAAATAAATGTGTAATCGCATTCCCAAATTGCAAATCGAGTGTCTACCATATGCAATAATCTTTTCTTTCGATTCTGTTTTATCCTATATCACTTTTTTTTAATGGCTTTGATTTATATTTATTTGTTTAGCTTTCTTTTATGTTCATCCTAAAAACTATATTTTAATCCTTCAAAATCTCAATAAAGACACAACCTGCATATTTTCATTAGCGAAGTTAGGTGTCTGCCTCTTGACAAATTGGTTTCTATGAAAATCTTGTTAGATAAATTGAATATAGGTGGTGTAGGTATGAATTCACTAATCAATTACTCTACAAACTCGAGAGTAAAGTCGAGTTTGTAGAGTAATCAAGATTTTTTTCGAACCAAGTTAAATCTTATGTTAGTAAGATTTTGCCGGACCATTTTAAATCTTATGTATCCACTCTTCATTCATCTTTCTCATATATATATATATATTTTTCTATTGAATTAGATTGATCATGGTGGTGTATTGAATCTTGAGTTCTTAAAATTTCCAAACAAATTGGTATCGAAGTTTTGATTATGAGAAATTCGGCTTTTGATTGTAAACAATGTCCGCACATGACAAGCTTCAATTTATTTTGAAATAATTTAATAGAAATGAAAATTTTATTCTTTGGCAATGAAGGATATAAGACATCTTTGTTCAACGAGACTTGGCTAAAGCATTGAAGAGAAATGATAAGAAGCTAAAAGAGATGAAATCGCATGAGTGGGAGGAGTTGAAATCAAGGTGTGTTAGGATGATTCGACTCGATATTGCTGATACCATTGTCAATAATACTATAGATGAAAATTTGATGCCTACAATACGAGAAAAGTTGAAAATTCTTTATTTGACAAAAATTTTAACCAACAAGTTACATTTGAAGTGGCAACTTTACAAGATGAAAAAAACGTAAAATTCTCATGATGCACTTGAACATGTTCATTAGTATATTAGATCAATTGCAAAAAATTGATGTCAAGATTAAGAAAGAAAGAAGAAAAAACCCTTTTGCTAGACAAAAACCCTTTTGCTTCTTACCTCTCTTCTCGATTCGTTTGAAAATCCGGTGATGACATTGTTATATAGTAAGGATACAATGAATTTAGATTAAGTACAAGTAGTACTTTTATCTTGTGAGATGTAAAGAAAACCAAATTAAGAATATATATATATATATATATATATATATATATATATATATATATATATATATATATATATATGTACTAATGACCGAAAGAAGTACAAAAAAGAAAGATCAGTTGAAAGAGAATTTCAAAATGGCAAGTAGAGCCTAGATCTAATAAAAAGGACATTCAATGTTACATGCATAAAGAATTTGGTCACATCAAAGGAGATTTTCCTAAAAAAAGAGGATGAATAAATTCAATAATGGTGGAAATTCTTTAATGGTAGTAAAAGACTATAGAGATGTCCTTACGAGTCTTTAAAGGTATTGACACATTTTCCGATGATGGTTGGATATTAGATTCTACATATGTGTTATAGAAACAATCATTTTGATGAGTTTCAAAGAGAAAATATTGCTACCATGTCTTTGGTGGCGTGCCTTCTTGTAACATTATGGGTGTCTTATAACGATGAAAATCAAAATATTTGATGGAGTTATTTGTACTTTAGGTGTTGTGGCTTATGTTTCAAATATACATAGGAATCTAATTTCATCTGTGCCGGTTAGACTCTAAAGGATACAATTATTCCATCGTATTTAGAGTTTTGAAAGTCAAAAATAGCAACACAATTCTTATGAAAGGAGAAAAGGGTGATGGTTTATATCGACCGATTAAAAAGACAATGACTTCGAGAAGTGACTGGAAATAGAGTGCATAGGTTGGTAACTACATAAAAAGAAATTCTTTGGTAATTGGAAAAGAGACAAGCATTATACATTTTTAAGTTTTAGATGAGTATGAAGAGAAAGATCCTATTGAGTGAGAGTGAGAGAGAGAGAGAGAGAGAGAGGATCGAATAAGGACCCTCTCAAGAGTTAACAAGTAAAATTAACTCGGGATAACTACACATGGGTATAGTCATATTTTTGAATTAGGTAGAATTCAAAATGATTTATTGATCTAGGTCATGTATAACTTGTAAATTTTAAGACGAATAATTATTTATATCTTTCTATTTGTGATATTTATAAGCAAATGGAGCCAACAAACTAAGAATATTTGCCAAGGTAGAGATTTTTGGATGTAATAAGCCATCCTAAAATGATATTTAAGTTCGTAAAAATTGTAAAAACAAAAAATGGGACAACATATAAAAAAAGGGACAACTTGCTCGTCCATCATTTTTCTTTCTTTTTCCCTTTTTTTCTCTTCCTCATTCATTCTCTCCTTCCTCCCATTTCCCTCCTATAATTTCTAACTTAAAAACTTGCCCAATTAACTTAGAAAAACCATAAAACAAGTTGATTAAAGTAGAGTTTAGCTAGATTAAATCTTATAAGGCTTAAAGAGTTTGGGATTGAAATTGGGGTTGAGGAGCCAATTATCAAATGTAAGAATTTTTATCATTTGGTCTTTAAACGAAGATATTTATATGTGTAATTAATGATTTTGAGGTTAAACTGTATTGGGTTTGTTGTTGAAATGAAGACTTTAGGGAGATTTGTGTTAGGGTTTTTGAGACCCATTTGGAAAAAAGTTGATTAAGCAATTCTAAGTGATTAAATGATGTTTATTATTTTAGGTTAGTGATATATAAAGTTGAATTGGATAAATTTGATTATTTTGAGAGTTTAAAGATAATGAATAGTAAAATTTGAAATTTGGGTTTTGAATTGAAAAGAATTTAGGAAAAAATAAAGAATTAAGTTATATAAATAAATTAAAGATGAATGAAAAGAGAATTAATTGACTTAGAATAGAATTGATGATTTAATTGAGAACTTGTTAATTTAGTTGGGATGATGAGTTACAGAGAAAAGATGGTATATGTGAAGATTGGTTGAGAATTGGCGATGGATGATTATTTATAGTAAAATGTAATTGTTTAGAATCGATTGAGAGAGTAAGAGTTTAGTCGAGCTATTGATTTGAATCTTTCCAATCAATTTCATTTTCATAAATTATCTTATATCTTGATTTCTAGAATAATTCATTTGTTTTGAATTATTCTTCGATATGTAATATTGATGATTATTCTATCATTTTATATTATTAGATTCTTTAAAATGAGCAACTCCATCTCAATAACCTTGATTCCGTTCGATCTTTTGATTGTATTGTGAGTGGATAGCATATAGCATATTATGTTTTAAAATTATTTCAATATACTTGTCATGCATAATTGATTTAACTATGACATAATTACATTCATTAAAACTTAGATAGAAATGGACCCCTTGTGCATTTGAAATGATATCATATCGAAAATGATTTGATATGATTAAAAAAAGAATTTGAATATACATTTGAATAAGTTTTTTACTTATGGTTTGATATGTGATTATAGATTTAAATAGTAGTTTAATTTATATTATTTATTTTGATTTATTCATATATTGAATTGC